CAGCTGTCAGCTACCTGTTGCCTGAGGGCTTGGCCTCCAATACAGAGGGTCACTTGCACATAGCCTCCAAGAAGAGGGGATCTTAGCAGAAAGACTTGTCCAAAACCAAGAGGCCATCTCCATTTCCTCCTTATATCTTCCATGCTGTTTTTACAGTGAGATACTAAATCCACTAGAGCTAGGCAGGGACAGTTTAATGAATGAACATCAAGCAAGCACCACCTAAGACAAGAAATGGAATACCACCCTCCCCCAACCTCCCTCCCCTCACCCAGGGGGATGCGCTCCTAGACCTGTGTTCATAAAGTGTATACATTCTGTGTCTCTTTTTTCTTTTCTTTCTTTCTTTTTCAGTTTTACCACCAAGATTCATATCTCTACACACAATCTTTTGCTTTTGCCCTCCTGGGACTTCGTGTATGTGGAATCAGGGAGCATGCTCACTCCCGTGTGGTTGGGGGTGGTATGTGCATGTGTGCACGCAGACACACGTGTGCACGTGAGGGCATTTGCGGAGGCCAGAAGCCAGCACTGGGCGTCTTCCCAGCTGTCGCCCCCCCCTTCTAGTCTTTGGAGACAGGGCCCCACACTGAACCTGGAGCTCACCAATTTAAACAGGCTGGTAGCCTGTGAGCCCCCAGGATCCTCCTGTCCCCACCCCCTCAACACTAGAGCTGCAGACACCCATCGCCACACCTGGGAGTGCGAGTCCTGGGGATCCGAACTCGGGCCTTTGTGCTTGTGTGGCACGAGTGCTTTGCCAGTAGAGCCGGTCCCCGGCCTCAGTGCATTTCCTGTTTGTGACACTTTCAGTCCTCTGTGTAGCAGTCACTCATTCACTGCATTGTCCCAGCCCATTCTGTCACATGGATGGATTTGCCGTAGGATGTGACAATTTATTCAGTTGCTTGTGAACGTTGGGATTGTGTGCAGTTTCTGGGAAACACAGAGAGAGCCAGTCCAACACACCTTCTGAGGTACAAGTGCACACGTTTGATTGAGCAAAGATCCCTCTCATTATAACTTCTCATAATCGTTTTTTTTTTTGTTTGTTTGTTTTTTATCTAAATCATGTACTACCTGTCTCTCTTATCACAGGACAGGGGTCCTGCACATTTCAACAGACAAAATAAAGGGGAGCGGTTAGGAATTATAATGGATCCACTATGCTTTTTTTTTTTTACTTCCTTTACTGCATTTAAAAAAATGAGTAAAACTTGGGGGCTATTACTTCAGTGAGCTTGCAATAACTTTCCTTAGATTTGTGATGTAGCTTGTTTTTTCCTCCAAACAGGTACAAAGGAAGTTGGAAGCTTAAATTCTCTGTAGATGTTTTCCTGTACCTTAAAACAGTTTTCCTTTTCCCCAGGACTCATAGCCAGTGTTTACCTAAACTCTATGGGATCTATTAAAGACTCTAATTATGCAAAATATCCTGAGCAGCCACAGTGAGAAGGAGCCACATGAAAAATGAATAGTTGTTATAGCGATTAGATTCATGGCATTTAGAATTGCCAGTTCAAGGCAGAGAGTATGAAGTGGAAAAATATTTAAAAAGTAACAAAATTTGACGAGTATGAGATGTAGGTTTTTCGAAAAGGGCTCCTTGGAAGGATGATGAAATAGACACCCTGGGAAGAAGGAAGGAGGGGGAACAGGGTTTAGCTTGCTGATGTCGACTTTCCCGCTGCTGACTGTGCATCTCTAACACCTGGAGGTGGAATTGTTGGCCCTGTGGCATGAGTAGTGGCAGGAGCTCCTCCCAGGTGGCTTTCCAAAGTGGTGGGTCGGATGTGTGCTCCGTTGGCAGCACAGGAGGGCAAGTGTTGCTCCATCCCGGCAACACTTGGATGACTCATCTTTAGACGTCTTCCAGGGTCCACAGTGTCATGGCATTTCCACTGTGAGCTTAGTTGGGATTCCCCAGGTTTCTCACGAGGTCAGTTGCACTGTCTCTCTGGACACTGCCTCACTGGGCGCCATGGTCTGCTGTGTTGGGTTTGTTTGTTTAACAGAGAAACATTGCTATGTTGTCCAGGCTAGCCCTAAATTCCTGGCCCCCATGGACTCTCCTACTCTAGCATGAGAGAGGTGAGCATCATGGAGCTAGAGATTTCTTGTCAACATTAGCTAGGGAAAAACAACCAAGGCTGGAGTCAAGATGGATTAATTAGCAAGCTCAATGTGAGTCTGCAAGCAGAAATTCAGACCCCATCTTTTATTTCCATGACTTAGCGATCTCAGGCATGAAGGATTCTCATCAAGGAGATATGTCTTCTGGTCATTTGTCCCGAAGCATCTTTTATAGGTGTATACACACATTCTTCATAAGCTGACGCTTCCATGCTTCTGGTTCTGGTTTGTTTTCCTTGAGACAGTGTCTCCTGTACCCCAGGCTAGCCTCCAACTCACTGTATAATGGAGGGTGGCCTTGAACTACTGACCCTCCCGCCTCTGCTTCATGTTGGTAGGATGATAGGTGTAGATCTCCTCCTCCATGTTCCCCTCCTCCTTTGTCCTTTTCTCTCTCTCTCTCCTCTCTCTCTCCTCTCTCCTCTCTCTCCCCTCTCTATCCTCTCTCTCTTCTCTCCTCTCTCTCTCCCCTCTCTATCCTCCCTCTCCTCTCTCTCTCCTCTCTCTCTTCCCTCTCTCTCCTCTCTCTCTTCTCTCTCTCCTCTCTCTTCTCTCTCTCTCCTCTCTCTCTTCCCTCTCTCTCCTCTCTCTCTTCTTTCTCCCCTCTCTATCCTTCCTCTCTCTCTCCCCTCTCTATCCTCCCTCTCCTCTCTCCTCTCTCCCCTCTCTTTCCTCTCTCTCCTCTCTCTCCCTCTCTCTCTCCCCTCTCTCTCCCCCCTCTCTCCTCTCTCCCCCTTCTCTCTCCCCTCTCTTTCCCCCATCTCTCCATCAACACTGTGTCTCATGCCTATTCACGTGTGCATGCCTGTGAGCACAGGTGTCAGAGGAAGACTTTCCACCTTGTTTTTGAGACAGGATCTCACAGGACCTGAAGCTCACTGCTGCAGCTGCATTGGTCAGCCCTAAAGCTTTTGAGTCTGCCTGTCTTCCCTCTCTGACACTTGCAGACACTTACATGTGACTGTGTCGGCTTGCTTTCACAGCAAGTGATCTTACCCACTGAGTCACATACCCAGCCCCTTAAATGTACGTTTGTACACACATTACCCTTTCTGCAAGCCGCTGGTGTCTATAAAATAGAGCTAGCACACGCTGTGCATGTCTTCTCTAGAGAACAGACTGGGCTCTCTGTCCATATATGGTGTTTTATTGCATGGTTGGGCATTTCCCAGTAACCAGCAAGGCTTTCATCAGCCACATGACCATCTGAAAGGAATTGGCACCTCAAGGTGCTTGTGACTCACTGTAGGACCAAGGGGCTGTTTCCATAGTGGCGAAATTTCAGAATAGCCATCCACAATGACCAAGAAGGGTTTGGCTGTGTATCTTCCACCAGTCATATCTTGGGTATCTTGCCAGCTGCCCTGAGCTTCAAGCAGGGGGTTGGACGGAGCCCTGGCTACTGTGCCAACCAAGGCACCATTTCAAAAGGAAATCGTTTTAAAGTTACAACCTCCCCCCACCTTCAAGAGATGGGCTGCATGGCAGGAGAAAGGGAAGTGTGGTCACATCCGGTTCCAAGGCCCAGCTCAGTCTGAACTGTGGCTGTGATCTTGACATCTTATGTCCAGAGAAGGCAGTACAGATCATGCCAGTTTGCAGACACCCTTCTCCCCCTGGCAGCTGGGGCCTGACCAAGCTACTCTCAAGCTTAGAGCATCTGAGTGCTGCTTGCTGGATGCCCTGAGACTCCATCTTCCTTGTTTTAGCAAAATGCAAAGGCCTCACGCTTCCCCGGATGGATCTCACGATCAGAAGGTGTGAATTGCTGGAAAGGGGGGAGTGGAAAGGCTGGGGAGAATGAGGCTTTAAACTTGAAGAGTCACACCTCTTGGTGCTGTGTCAGCCTGGAACACACCCTCGCTGGGACCTACGGTTTGGAATCACTGCTTCCTCCTGTAGTGTCAGGACTGCCCTGTTCATGTGTCTCTGTTCAAGGGTGAGCCTGTGTGTTGCCACCCAGCATGGAGGCCTGGAATGTTACATACATGTAGCTCACGATACCAGTGAAATGGAGTCCTCGGTTCATCTGCAGATGCCTGCTGGACCTCAGGCTGTCTCTGTTGGCTCCTCCCACACAGCTGCCATTCCCTTCTCAGGCACAGGATGTCGATGCCACCTGATAATACCAAACAGTGTTTTAAACCTGGCCCTGGCATTGGGGAACGGGTACGAAAGTGAAGAAGCATTGGTAATCTTTCATGTGTGCTCTGGAAGGTTCTGTTAAAATGCCACTGGATTCCCCATCCAAACCACACCTGCACCTGTGGTTTAAAAATGGAGGTGAGTCTGGGTGGTGGCGGTGCACACCTTTAATCCCAGCACTCGGGAGGCAGAGGCTGGCAGATCTCTGTGAGTTCGAGGCCAGCCTGGTCTACAGAGTGAGTTCCAGGACAGCCAGGGATACACAGAGAAACCCTGTCTCAAAAAAGGAGAGAGAGAGAGAGAGAGAGAGAGAGAGACAGAGAGACAGAGAGAGAGACAGAGAGAGAGAGAGAGAGAGAGAGAGAGAGAGAGAGAGAGAGAGAGAGAGACAGAGAGAGAGAGGAAAAAATGAGGATGAGCCTAGGGGCTTCATAGATACCTAAAACCTGTGCCTGTTGCCCTGAGCTACACAGACCCAACCTCCTTTCCTGATCTCCAGAACTCCACAGCCTGCTGCATGGTCCATCTCCAACTTCTGGCATTTCCATTTTGCTGGCTCACTGGCTCTGGTACTGAGCCTTCCAGGGGCCTCGAGGTCTGGGTGCTGCCTGCCAAGCCCACGCCCACTTGCAGGTTCTGGTGAGCACTTGCTGTGTCCACTGTGGCTAGGGTACTATTTCCTGGGTCAGAGTAGGGGGTGATCCAGTGTCTTCTGTCTACAGGATCAGGGCCCGAGATAACAACGGCTCCTATGCTCTGTGCCTGCTGCACGAAGGGAAGGTTTTGCACTACCGCATTGACAGGGACAAGACGGGGAAGCTTTCCATCCCTGAGGGGAAGAAGTTCGACACCCTCTGGCAGGTGAGTATATCTGTGTGTGTGTGTATCTGTCTGTCTGTCTCTGTATCTCTCTGTGTGTCTCTGTCTCTCTCCCCCCTCTGAAGGGCACAATGCAGGCCCATGAGACTGATAGATAGTTCCAAAACTCTTAGAAACAAGGGGAGGGACAAGACTATCTGTCCCATCCACTCCACTCTCTGATTTCTAAATGGCACGTTTGAGAACTCTTGACACAGAGACTGTCATCAAGTCAGAGAGGCTGCAGAGTTTCCATCTAGAGCTTTTAAGTTCTCGGTGCCTCAAGATCATGTGCTTCAGGGCAGTGTCTGGAATTTAACAGAAAGTCCCGCCATCTGGAAATAGCATCACACACAATCACAGATGACCGAAGAAAGAACCCAGGGGCTGTGATCCAGCTGGTCCTGGAACTGTGAGATGCCCGGGTGACACCAGGGTGGACTACCCTCATAGTAGAGCCCCATAGGAGGGTAAAGCAGCTTGGGGAGGGTGTCTCTACTCTTTCTCTGCTCCAGGCAGCTGCCTGTCCACGAACTCTGCATGCCTGCTCTACAGAGGGTTCATTCTCAACCTAGCTGTCATTAAAGCTAGAGGCAACTCAGGCATACAGAGGCACCCCGACATTGCACACCCAGATCCCCACAATTGCTACTAAGCACACGTTGCTTCCTTAATTTGGCATCATAGCTACAGTTTCATAGTAAATTCAAGGCCAGCCTGGGCTACCTAGCAAAACCCTATCTCAGCAAACAAACAACTGAGCCAATAAAGGACTAGAAGATGGGGTGGTATGGAGACTCCAAATCCCTAATGTATCATCATCTGTCTGTGTGATGGTTAGTTTTAATGGTCTGTTTGACACACTCTAAAATACCTGAGAAGAAAGTCTTAATGAAGGACTGTGTAGACTAGATTAGAGCATGAGCATGTCAGTGGGGACTGTTTTGATCACATTAATTAATGTAGGAAGGCCCAGGCTGTGGTGGGTGGTGCCATTCCCTGGGTTGGAGTCCTGGTCTGTATAAGAGCGGAGAATGTTAGCTAAGCGGTAAACAGTGTGCATCATTCACTCTGCATTCTTAGTTATGGATAAGGCTAAACATTTGTTGGCTCTACCCAAGGACGTCTGCAGCCGATCCCCAGGTGCCCTGTGGAAGAGACTGTCTGGGGTTTCAGTGTCTTTAGAGTCTGAGAGCCGTGGCTCTGTTGTCTCCATTTCTCCCCCTCTACTAACCACTCTCTTCCTTGCTTCTCTTGCAGCTAGTGGAACATTACTCTTACAAGCCAGATGGGCTGTTAAGAGTCCTCACCGTACCATGCCAAAAGATAGGCGCACAGATGGGTGAGTGGCTGGGACACAGAGGGCCTGGTTTGGGGGATACTGGTCACTATTAGCCTGGCGTCAGATTTGTCCCTTCCAAACTCAAGCAGGATGAGGCTTTGTCTTTTACCATGTGATTAAACTCAATGTCACTACAATTCTAAGAATTGTTAGTTGAAGGATAACCAATCACTATAACTTTTAAAGAAAACTAGTGGATTTTAATTGCACATGTTACCAGGGGTGGTGGCACCTACCTTTAATCCCATCATTGAGGAGACAGAAGTAGGCAATCCGTGTGAGTTCAAGGCCAGCCTGATCTATATAGTGAGACTCTGTCTCAAAAATATCTTACTTAATTGAATGGGTTTTTTACCCAGTAAAAGAGAAAAGTCTTGAAGCAGAACATTTACAGTATGTTCCCGACGTCTTGACTGATCTGACAAGTAGTGTTCTGCACAAACACAACAGCAATTTTCTAACTGGCTTATTCTTCTTGCAGGTCACCCACAAAGTTCAAATGCCCACTCTGTGGTGAGTATTATTATAGGTGCTTCTGCTGGGGAAGCAGTTGTGTCTGAATACACAGGGAGTAGGCTTTTAGTTAGCACAGGTTCTGAACTCCAAGCACAGCCCTGAAGACCTGGGAACTCCAGTGAGTCTGGGAAGGCATCTGCCTGTGGCCACTGCTAAGCTAGCCTGTTTTCAGGGCTTCTTGGCTGCCTTGCTTTCTCCTCGTAAGTATACAGAATGAGCAAGAAACCCACTGTTAGATCAGAAAGGCCTCCTGTCACATGTAGAAAAAGTAGACATACTGTTCAAGTTCAGTCTGTACGAACATGTGTGTACCATCCACAGGCCTGCCGTCAAGGCAGATCAGTAGGACAGGGCCAGCAGATGGGTATCTCCTTGAGTTTAGCAACTCAATTCCTTTGGCCAAACCAATTGACACAGAATTACTAGGGACTTGACCTCCTGGGTGAATCGTTTTGACTGATGATTATGGGAGGGAGGATGTGCTTGGTAAGAGCTCAAGAGAAAGGTCCAGAGAAGGAAGGAGTCTGGGAGTCTTGGCCAGAGCCCACATCCCATTCCATGCCATTAGATGAGACTGTACCCGCTGTCCCTGGGTTGGATTATCCCTTCCATCTTCATGCTCACAAAGAGAAGAGAATCTCAAGTCCCTTCTCCATCCAGGATGTCAGAGTTGGTACCTAGGGTGTTACTCTGCAGGAGTTGGGTTTCTCATGCCTTGGAGACTTTGTTGTGGACATCCCAGCCCATTAGCATCATCGGGGAATAATTCCTGACTTCTGCCCTGCTGACTCCGAAAACAAAAAAAATCTGCCAAAAGCCAAACACATGTTCTGTCTCCAGTGGGGTGGGGGTGGGGGTTGGTCACTCAGTACTGACACTGTTGATTCCACAGTTAGCACCTGTTACCAAACCGAGAGACCTTGAATTGGCTAAAATACCAGCAAACTTGAGGGTCCTCTGAAACATAGTGCTACCGGGGTCCTCACTTGTATGGGGTCCTCATGTTTCTCATGAGCCTGGTGCTTATCACTGGGTGCCCTTGAGACAGATCTGTTGTCTCTCTCAAGCACGTCCAGCTTGTGATCTGAGGGCTGCATATGTCCCAGGACTTGTGGATGACAATGTCATGTCGCAACCAGTGACACTGAAACAGATGGTGACTAGAATCTCTTGTGGAGCCCGAGACACAAGATTTCCACAGAAAACATGGTGGCTTCCTGCCTCAGTCTTAGTTTTGTAGCCTTCAGTGGAAAACATTTACTGAATATTCTAGACATGTCTGCCCAAATGGTTGGACTCTTCTGGAAGCATCTCAAATAATCCAGACTTGTATGCAGGAAATCTCCCTGGGGCCGGTGAAGGGGTCAGGCAGTGCACTCGCAGAAGCAAGGCCAGGCAGGTAGCTTGTCGTGACAAAGAGTATCTTGCATGTGTTTCCTGAAACTAAACGCTCTATTCCTCTCTGCCATTGTGGTTTCTAGACTTGGTCACCGGGTGGAATAATCTCAAGAATCAAATCCTACTCCTTCCCAAAGCCTGGCCACAAAAAGGTGCTAAAGCGTCCCCTCCTTGCTGTCCCTGACTAAGTGGTAGGATAGACCCGCACGCAGCCACGCTTGGCTCCCTACCCCCTTACCCAGCACAGCTCTGCCTCCAAGCCTCACTGCATGCCCAGTCCTGAGCGCACCTGCTGCGCCTTGCAGCCCCTGCACAGTGCATTGCATGCTTTGCATGCAGATTCTCCGTCGCTACTGCTGCATAGCTGGACCATGTTGCCTTGTTTTCTACCAACACACAGCTTCAGTCATTTCAGTGAGCACAACCAACAACCGTGGATCCTCACATCAGATGGTCACGCAGCCTTCCTTGTCCATAGTCACACGTTACAGCATTACAGCCCCTGCTACATAGAGTTACTCACAATGGAGGGAGCTGAGGTCTCCAGAGGCGCTCTGCCCCCTGAGACATCAGGTTGATTTTTATATTTTCTTACATGACTGAATTTTGGGGCAATAAAAAGAAAACTTCGAGGGCAAGATGACTTAGAGGCTAAAGGCACCAAGGCTGGCAGCCTGGGTTTGACTCCTGGAAGCCACGCGGTGGAAGGAGGGAACTGACTCCAGCAAGTTGTCCCCTGACCCCATGTGTGCGCTGTGACTCATGCACATACCAGACAAATAGATGCAAAAAGTTTTGTCAGGGTTTGGGAACCAAACTCAAGTGCTTTACCACTGAGCTATGTCCCAGCACATGTTTTTTTATGAGTCAGAATTTTACTCGATAGCCCAGGCTATCTTTGAACTTACTTCCACCTCCCAAGTTCCAGAATTACAAGGATTTCCATCCTGACCTTTGTATCAACTTATTTATAGTGAACCCCACACACAAACACATGAGACACGCACATTTATATGCATATGCACAGGTACATGCATATCCACACATATGTGTGTATAATATGTATAGATAGTTTTTTTCATATCTATTTTTATCTTCTTTAGGTAAAGCTGATTCTGTTGACAGTTTTCATTTTGTGCTAATATTTTTCCAGGCATGAGGGCACATGACCAAGCATAGCTACACCGGGTTGAATATCTGAAGTACTTACTAAGACAAAAGGCACAAGTGTGCAGGAGTTTTACGCTAATTATTCTCTGTGTTGATCGAATTACTCAAGGATCTTAATCCTGTTGGCCAGAGCACAGAGAAGAGAGCCACACAGCAGCCAAAGAGACAGGAAGCCGTGCTGTGCTCTGTGGTCAGTGATAGTTGATGTTGGAGAACACTCTGCAGCTGCCACGGGACTGTAATTCCATCAGCAGACCCCTTCTCTGCAGCAGTACTCCTCATCCTGGATTTCCACACGGCTCAGTCATGACCACTCAGATAAGCCACTTGGCATATCAAAATCCAGTGCTGCAGCTGGCCCAGTCGGTTAAGTTCTAGTCACTCAAGCTTGAGCACCTGAGTCCCTGCCACCCATGTCAAAAGCCAGACACAGGGGCACGTGCCTGTCATCACAGTGCTAAGGAGTCAGAGGCAGGAGGATCCCTTGGCTAGCCAGTCTAGACAAGCTCCGGGTTCAGTGAGAGATACTGTATCACAAAATAAGGTGAGAAGTTATTAAAAAAGATACCTGACATCAGCCTTTGGCCCTAAATGTACACTATGCACATACATACCACACACACACACACAGGCACACATAGGTGCACATACACGCACACACATACATGTACACACATTAGAGTGTACACACACAAATGCACACATGCATGTGCAACACACATACATCCACACACAGGAGTGCGCACGCACACACACACACACACACGCACACACACACACGCATGCGCATGCAAAAAAAGCCAACACCAGCAAAGCTCATTAACAAGACCTTAAATGAACTCTAGCAATTAGAGCTAATGAATACTCTGAAGTTCAAGTACATTTTAAGCTGATTTTTATTCATGTGTGTATGTTCATGTCTGTGTGAGTGTATGCTGCATGTGAGCAGATGCCTTCAGAGACTGGAAGGGGTTATAAGCAACCCACTATGGGTGCTGGGAACCGAACTCAGGTCCTCTGCAAATTGCAACAGTGGTACGTGATCTTAACCACTAAGTTGCCTCTCCAGCCCCAAAACAGGTGAATTTAAATTTAGAAAATACCAATGTATTTTATATTCTGAGTCTGTAACCACTCTTAGCTAAGGCATAAGAGCACTGGTAGTCATATGAAATCCCTGCTGTTGAGAATCGTGGCATTTTCCTGGGTTGGTTATCTGTGTCCACAGCCCTGTCCATGAAGAGGCTTCCCAGGGTCACACGCCCTCCCTAAGACCATTAAACAGAAACTAGCCCCTGGATGTCTTGTTTTATTCAATATAAACTTTGATGGCTGGGATTTTGAGAGACTGGAATCTGAAAGGGCCAGGTCTTAGGTCTTTGCTGTAAGGTAAAAGAATAACCATATAGGGCATGTCCTTCTCTTCAGGCCAGCCTAACCGTAGCCCACCTTCTAGCAGAGTCTGCTCTCATCTGGGCACGCTCACTCCTCGATGGCCTGAGTTCCTTCTGAGACCAGGACACACCACACCCAACTCATTGCAGCCCATGTCTTGGAGCCCGCTGGTGCTGCTGGCCAGCAACACGCTTCTCTCTGCAGTTCACCTGTTCCTCCATTTTAACACTGACCCACACTCGGTTGTTTGTCCTTGTTTCTTCGTGCTCACTCCTTTAAAAAAAGCCCTAGTTCTTTCAACTGAGGCTTCACTTCCAGAGCTTTTAGTGGTGACAGTGGTCCTTGCAAAGGCCTGTTCTCAAGTGCTGTGTGAAAGCTGGAAACAGGATGTCTTCATCTACATCATAAAGCCAGCTGATGCTCTTTTAACTATCCCAGTGGATACCACCCATTCCTTCTGCAGAACAGGCCACAAGTAGGGTACCATTATCACCCCAAACCCATAGGTCTCCATTTGTGTATGAGCGGGCAGTGGTGGGTACCAGGGCTGACACACCTAGATAAGAAAAGTTATGTATCTCTTAGAGGGTCTCAGGGGCTGTCTCTTTCTGGACACAAAATGTTCATTCTCCTAGGGTGCTTTGTGTTGGGTAGCATGGAAATGAAGCTCTGAGTCCCATTCACTTAAAATGGAGTCCTGCTTCCTAAAGGAGATACGCAGTCTTTTCCTTTGTCTATCAGATAGACACAGGGAGAGCACCCATCAGTTTGGATATGAACTCCATCCAGGAGCTTGGATGCTCAGGGTCCCTTGCCACTGATCCCAACTTGCTTCGAATACATTGCCTTTTTTTCAGTGATTTTTAAGACCCTCAACTCTGCTTTAAAAAACATCCCCCAGCAGATTTTGTTGGGAAGTAGTGGGTGCTGATTTATTATAACAAGCCCTTTGAGGTCCTCTTGCTCTGGGGAATATTCCAGGGAGACTGCATGTAGCCCCAGAATGAGGCTCTGAGTGGCAGAGGGCAGAAGAGGAGCTCTTGTAGCCACAGGAAGGATTAAATCTATTTTCCCCATCGCAGGGTATCCTTTACCTCCATGATGGGTCAGAGTCATGCTAACCTGAAAAGACTTTAGAAACTGTTTGCAGCTGCAGTTTGTTTATAGAAGGACCAAAGCAGAATGGGAAGGATAGATATAGTAGACATTGCAGAGTATAAGCTAGGAGAGATCTCCTTAGGCAGGGCAATAGCAGTATAAATGATAAAGGGACCCTATCCTACCATCCACTCATCCATCCATCCACCATCTGTCCATCCGCCAACTGATCTGTTCAACTTTCCATCCGTTTATCTATCTATCCATCTACTCATCCATCCACCTATGTGTCCACACACCCACATATCTGTCCATCTGTACATACATACATCATACATGTATTCATACATTCACCCACCTATCCATCCAACATCCATTCTTTCACATGTTTGTGTTGCGTGTTTCCTAAGCATCCGTTACTAGCTTGGCTCAGCTACTGAGCTTTGATTTGATGCCTATATTTGCATAACTTCTGCTCTGTTGTCATGGTTAGTTCTATTGCGTGATCCAACAGGAGTGTTGGGACAGACCACAAGAAAATGAACCCAGTGACATCTCCATGACATCTGAGACCAGATGTCCTTTGGCTTCATTGAAAGTCCCTTTTCCACAGGCGTTGCCAGCCTCTAACTCATATAAACACCATGAAGCTGGGAAGCCAAAGTATCTTGGGACCTATATCCCTGTGTTGGTAATGACACGGTGTGACTCTGTTGTTAAATTTTGATACATAGGACTGTCATGTTAGTGAGACAGGTGAGAATTTAATGCGTGCTTCTAGACAGTGGCTGTGTAATGTTAGCTAAATGTCTCTGTTTCTTTAAATTTCCCCCAAATCTGGTGCTGTCTCATTTCTTCACGGCAATATGCGGATCTGATAAGGTAACTAGATAGACGAGATGAAACAGAAGTAGGAGGAGAGGGGGGCTAAAATTGAACAGCGGCCATCACCTTGTCTTAATTTGTGGGCGAAGATGGGTCAGAAGAAGAGAAAAATGTTTCAAGCGGAAAATCCATAGGAATATAAGCAGATTTCCCCCCCTCCCCCTACTTTATGAGACAAACCGCTGTTAATCGAATGCGTGAGAACCCCTGTGTCTGAGGGCCAGTGAGCTTTCTTTCCTTCAGTTTCTCTCTCAATGACCAGCCACAAGGTAAAAACGAAGAGTTCATGTCCTTCCGGAAAGCAAAGAGAACTTCTCTTGTGGCATGGCACATGCCTGCTGCCGTCACCACTGTCTTCATCATTATCGCCTTTATCATTATCGTCACTGGCAGCAGGACACAGGGTGGGATGGAGGTGCGGCAGGGTGCAGCTAACTGGGCTGGGCCGCCCTGTGGCGTGAATGCATCCTGCCTAAACCTGTCGGGAAGGCAAAACAGGTGGACACAGCCTGACTTCACTTTGTAAATAACTTCCACATAAAATTAGATGCGCAAGGGCAAGTTCGAGGCAGAAATGAACCCACGGGGAGCGTGTGAGGTCCTCCTGTCTTCTGGGAGGTGGGGAAATGCACAGGAAGGGGAGGGAAGTTCTGCTGGAATGAGCAGAATGGATTCTCTCCCTCCAACCCTGAAGCAGCATCAGGGGCGGGAGCTGTAAGGCACGAGCCTTCTCAGGTCCAAATAGTTGCCTGAAGACTGAGATAAGCTTTTCTGACAGCTTCCTAATTCTTTGCTCTGCCTCCCCTGCCTAAGTTAACCTGTGCTCATTGAAAATAATGGCATCCATGCAGAAATGATAACACACTATCGTTTGTGTGCTTCAGCCTGCCCCGCCCCAAGGGAGTCGTCCAGAGAGTACTGTGTCCTTCAACCCCTATGAGCCAACAGGAGGGCCCTGGGCCCCAGACAGAGGTGAGAGGTGCACTTCTACTCAATGAACACTCAACGGGTGCCTGACGTTGTATAGAGTCAGCTTACAACTTCCTGGCACTGTTCCAAATCTGCCTTCCGGGGATGGTTATCATTAAGCAGTGGTGTCCAGCCACAGGAAGAAGATATCACATATCCATAAAACAAGCAGTTCTGTCGAGTAAAAGTGGTCTTTTACACTTAGAAAAAACAAACAGCAAAAACACAATCGTCACCATTGACAGCACCAGGCTTCTGCTTCAAATTCCGTGTCTGTCATACTCCATAGACTGCCAGTACCTTTCATGGAAGAACATGTAGTCTTGGCAGTAGGCACAGCTCAGTCATGATGACTGGGAGGCCATAGGGGTGACTTGTTCCCAGAAGTGGGACCTTTGGAGGCTTTCCTGGGTTCATGAACTTTTTATTAATGAACTTGGGGTTTGTTTATGTCTAGAAATTGCCTCCAAACAAAGGCCTAAAGCAACAAGGGTCAATTCTCATTTAATTTTACCTTGTGGTTGGAGATGTAGCTCATGGAAGAGTTATTGTCTGGCATGCACAGAGCCCTGGGCTTCATTCCCAGTACTGCAAAGCCAGGCAGAGTGCCGTCCACACCGGCAAGGTCATTGTTGGCTGGATGTTGAGTCCATGGCCCTTTACTCAGAGTTTGGTAGCCTCAGAGTAGTAGACCTCCATTCATAGCATCTCAGATATTAATCATTGTGAATTTTCATAGCCTTGCCTTGGGAAGCACATCTATTAATTCTCTTGAACTCTGTTGGTTGAGTTATAAAAAGTCAGCAAGGAGCATGTCATTGGCTGCACCTCTCAACAGGAGAGTGTCAAAGAATGGTCACACCTTAGTTAAAACCTAAGGAGGGGGTGTTATCCACCTTTACCACTGCTGTAGAGGACCCATCTTGATGTTCTTTCTTGCTTCCGTTCCCGGCTGCATGCGACTGCCCCGTACGACCAAAGGAGTGGGGGGCAGGGTATCAAGGGGTAGCACTCACAGGAGTCCTGTCTGAAGTTATGTGTAACCTAACTACCTTGCAGGCCTTCAGAGAGAAGCCCTGCCAATGGACACAGAGGTGTATGAAAGCCCTTACGCTGACCCTGAAGAGATCCGGCCCAAAGAGGTCTACCTAGACAGAAGCCTGCTGACCCTGGAGGACAATGAACTGGGCTCTGGTAACTTCGGGACCGTGAAAAAGGGATACTACCAAATGAAGAAGTAAGTACCATTGCCTGCCGTGCTACTGTCATCCTCAGTGTGAGCATGTGTCCTGGAAATGTCTAAGAATGCACCTGGATGTCCGTTTATTCCCACACGTGAAGTTTAACCTGGCATGCTGAGCGCTTTTTCACTTGCGTTATATTTATTCATTTCTGCTGCATTTTTTCATCTATGTTTTATTTTGTGTGTTGCGCACATACGCCCCAGCACTTGTCTCCTGTAATCAGAGGACACGGGAGTTGGTCCTCTCTCTCTCACATGGGTTCTGGGAACTAAACTCGTCATCAGACTTGGCAGAAGTTCTTTTACCAACTGACCCATTTCACCAGCCTTCATTTCTGACTCATTTGTGAGAAAAGTACCCTTTGTGTGTGCTAACTGTAGTTATAGTAATGAAATGTTTATTTTAGTGTCTGTGCCTTATAGGAAATAACTAAATAGAAATAAGCAAATTCATAAGAAAATATGAATATATTATACCTCCCAAACATGACTACCTGTGACTAACCTTGGTGTGGGCAGCTGCTGGATCTTTACATGCGTGTAAAAATTTTAAATATATGTATGTGAATCACAGTCACTTCTGAAGTTGAATGTTAAGAGACAGAGAGCAGGCTCAGCGGTTAAGAGGATGCACTGCTCTTCCAGAGGGCCTAAGTTCACTTCCCAACATCCACAGCTGCCTGTAACTCCAGCTCCATGGAATCTGATGCCCTCTTCTGGACTCTGGGGGTACCTGCACTCAACATGCACATTACCGCGCACACACACACACACACACACACACACACACACACACACACACACACACACTTAGATACACAATTTAAAATAAACCTTCTGAAAACCTGAGTATTAATTTTATGTATTCAGACATAGATTTTCCCCGATTTGTCTTAGATTATTTTAATTCTTTGATACTTAATACCTTGATTAATTAATATGAATCAATATGGCTACTTAATATAAAGTTACACACAATTTCAACTGCAAGTTTTAGGGAGCTGAGAAGCTGTGTTCTCCCAAGACTATTGTGAGGCAAAACAAAACAATGTCTTTGTATCACTGTGTCCTCCAGTTGGTAAACTCAGCCCATTCTCTCCCTGGACTCGGTTCTTCGCACTCTCTCAAGCTTCTCTCAGCAGACTTGCTTAGCTTTCTGGGTCAGCTTCCCTTACATGCATTCTCAGGTAGTTTGTGGGTAGTACTAAGTACTTCTGGTACTCAGGGTAGTTTGATGCCAATGTGTGGTATCATGTAGCATTTTCCATTTGATCTTCTATACCTTATGTATAAACTAAAACTGATTTTATACACAGATGTGACAACCAGCAACGCTGCTGAGTTCACTTGTGACCAGTGGCAGTTTATCTAGCTATTCTCTTTAACACAGAATTGTGTCACTTAGGAATAATGGCAGATCTCTGTGCGTGTGCATACACACATGTGTTTATGTGAGTATGGGTATTTATGTTCAGACGTGTTCACAAGTATGTGTGAGTACACATTTGTGCAGGTGTGTGTGTGGTGTGTGTGTGTGTACAAATGCATGTAGAAGTGAAAACTGAACACCAACCGGGATTCCTCAGGAGCCATCCACCTTGGTTTTTTTTTTTTTTTTTTTTTTGACGCAGGGTCTCTCACTGGAATCTGGGTCTTACTGATTAGGCTATGGAAACTGGACAGAGAACCACAGGGATCCCCCTGTCTGTGCCTCCCCAGTGCTGCAATTATGTGTGTGCCACACCCACATTTTTACATGTTGGGGCATTGGGGATTGAACCCCAGTACACATGATTTCATGGCGAGCGCATAACATGCTGAGCTGCCACCAGCCCAATAATGGTACCTTTTTCATCCTGTCTAATCCTTATTCTCAGAGTGTTTTCCTTGCCTTGGTGCAGTATCTAGGGATTGGAGAGTAGTGTTTTATAACTGCCAGGATCCTCATGCCTTGATACAGAGAGAGATCCCAGCATTCCCCTTGGGTGTGGTTGGTAACTGTACATTATGGGTGCTGTCTACCAGGCTGAAGAATTTTCATTTTGTTCCTGTATTTCTGGGAGGTCTTTAATCATGGATCTATGTTGAATTTTGTTGAAGACTCTCCCCCTCCACTGAGCTCATTCTGTGATTCTTTTTCTTTTGTGTTCCTATGGTGAATTACACCCATCGGGTTTCAGATTTTAAACACGCTCCTTGTTCTTTGAGTAATTTCCCCAGTCTTTCATCAATTATATCTTTTCTTCAGAAGTGATTGAATATAATCTCTGAGTATTTATCTCAGAATTTTCATGTCTTTGATCATGAAGTGTCTTAATTGCTTACTGTTCTATTGCTGGAAAAGATATCACGGTGACCAGGCACCTTACAAAAGAAAGCATTTAACGGGGGGGTGTTACAGTTTCAGAAGGTGAATCCATGCACATCTCGGCAGCAGGAGGGCGTGGTGGCACTGCAGCAGTAGCTGAGAGTTTGTGTCTTATCCACAAGTTGGAGGCAGAGAGCAAGGAACGGGGCCTCCAGGAACTTTTGAAACCTCAAAACTGGCATGCTTCCTCCAGCAAGGCCACACCCACTCCAACAAGGTCACACCCACCCAACAAGGCCACACCTACCCCAGCAAGGCCATACCTCCTGATCATTCTCAAAACAGTTCTACCAACTAGGGACCAAGTATCCAAACATGTGAACCTACAGAGGTTATTCTCATTCAAGCCACCACGTGAAGTTTTAGTCAATTGCTTTCTTACGGTTCCCATAACTGGGCCTTATTCTCTTACATCAGAGCACCGGAAGCCTCATAGACTGGGTGAAGAATCACCCCTTTCTCTTCTGCTTCTCTAGAACAGGTGGTAGTTTCTTTTGTAAACATTTAGAGGAATCAAGAGCCTTTGTCTTTTTTAACGTCTTAATTTGGATCCTACCTCACACCATGGATGTAACAATAGACCCAAATATAAAAATCAAAGCAGGTGGCTAGAGATGACAGAATGGAACCTTTTATGGTCCCAGGAGGACCCAGAGAGGCTGCTTGGGTGCTGATACTATCTACATCCACCTGTAAAGACCACTGGCTACATCCCAAATCATACAACACTAGTTATGTGTGCTTTTTCTGTGTGCCTGTCGGGCTTGCTCTGTTATGCGTCATATTCTATTTGTTGGGTGGGGGTGGGGGTGTGCGTGCGCACATGTGGGAATGGGGATCAAACTTGGGCCATCAGACTTGGCAGCATGCACCCTTACCCACTGAACCTCTCACTGCCCCCTTACTGACGAGTTCTGCTTTTATTCTCCAGTTTGAAGGTTCAGAAAAACAAAAACAAAAAAACCCCCAAAACAAAAAAAGCAACTTCTCTTTCCTGTGGAAATTTTATCACAGGTGTGATTTTTCAAGTCATACATGGTTAATGTTTGTTCTTTCATTTAAGCCATATTTTGTTAGAACATTTTCAAGAATTCAGCATGATCCATGTGATATTTTTATGATAAAATGAAAAGTCTGTGTTATGGAAACACGTTGAGGATTTGCTTAAATTTAACAAAGCACAATGGGAAAGAGATGTGTCTTTAACAATGTGTGAGTTGCCCCAGAATCCCAGAGGTAGAGTCAGGAGGACCAGAAGTTTAAGGTCATCCTCTAATATACACTAAATTTGAGGCCAGAATGGATTACATAAGACCCTGTCTCAAAAAGAAAAAAATATTTAAAAAAAACAAACATATGCTCTTTAATTGTGGGCCCAGACCCTCATTTTCAATATCACAAAGGAAGCTGGCATTCACGTATGCATATTGATATAACCTAGCTGGCAAATCTCGTGACATTGCAGGAAGCTATATGCATGTCACGGCTGGTGGATTTTTTTTTTTGGTTTTACGAGACAGGGTTTCTCTGTATTGTTTTGGAGGCTGTCGGTCCAGCCTGGCCTCGAACTCACAGAGATTCGCCTGCCTCTGCCTCCCGAGTGCTGGGATTAAAGGCGTGCGCCACCACCGCCCGGCACGGCTGGTGGATTTTATAGAAGCTGTTTTAATATTTTACAGTTTGGGGGCTTTGCTCAGCTTGGAGCATTCTCCATCACTGTCTGTTACCCTGGTTTACAGGTGGTAGGGCATTGTTCCTCTGTCTATCAAAGAGCAATGGATTGGAAGACGGCCTACTGCAGAGGCTAACCCTGGGTGATGTAAGCAAGCTCCTACTCATTCTTACAGAGCACCAGCCGCAAACCAGAGCACAATTCCCCCAAAGTCCAACCTGGGGGACCAATGAGTTTATTAGGCTTACTACATAGCATGCATGAGGGGTTGCTTACAGGAGCTGCACCACTGAAAAGTCTGGCTTCAGTGCAGAGGATGATGGCTTCTAGAAGGATGCGTGTGGTCCCTGTCTTAGTTAAGGTTTCTATTGCTGTGAAGAGACACCATGACTATGGGCATCTCTTATGAAGGAAAACATTTAATGGGATGGCCTACATTCAGAGGTTGTCCATTATCATCATGGTGTGACGTGGTTGTGCGCAGGAAGACTTGGTACTAAAGAAGTAGCCGAGAGTCCTACGTTTTGACTTACAGGCAGCAAGAAGTGGTCTGAGACACTGGGTGGTATATTGAGCATATATGAGACCTCAGAGCCCGCCTCCACAGTGACACACTTCCTCCAACAAGGCCACACCTCCTAATAATGACACTCCCTTTGGGGGCCATTTTCTTTCAAACCGTCACCCCCTTCACATACACCCTCACACACTCCTGCTAACCTCACAGTCTGTCTGCTCTAACACCTCCCAAGACCCTGAGTCTGTGTTCAGTTCGGACAGAATCTCACGTAGTTGTCTGGGAGGAGCCAGAGAGAGTTGCAGGAGTCCAGGTGACAGTTCGGTGATGATCCCTACCCTTTCCTTCTGTGAGGGATCAGCGGCAGACAAAGCTGGTCTCGATGCTCTCTTGCGAAAGGCATCACTGATCTGATAGGAATGGCAGCTGTTATATTCAGAGGGAGTTAATGATGAGCTTAAACTGCTGGTCCTCCGGGATCTACCTCTGGGATGCTGGGTGGGGGTCACAGGTGGTCACCCCCATGCCCAGGTCACACATTGTCAAAGCTCAGAGTTAAAGATAAACACTTCTCTCCTCCCATCCGACTTTGTTAAATTTAAGCAAGCACCAATGTGTTTCCAAAATACAGATTTTTCATTTTTCATTAAAATATCACATGGATCATGCCAAACTCTTGAAAACAAAATGTAGTTTAAATGAAAGGACAAACATTAACTATGTATGATTTGAAAAACTACACCTCTGGATAAAATTTCTATGCGAATGAGTAAAATGATACTAGCTGTTTTTCAATGCATTCATGGTGTGTGGTGTGTGTGTGTGTGTGTGTGTGTGTGTGTGTGTGTGGTGTGTGGTGTGTGTGCACGCACATGCGTGTGAACAGGTACTCCTTCCATACCACCCATATAGAGTCACAGAACAACCCTGGGTGTCACTTCTTACTTTTTTCCTTGCTTGAAAAGAGACTCTAGGAGTTTGCTGCTGACCCCACAAGTGTCCATGGATTCTCCCTTCTTGCCCTAGAAGTGTTGGGATTACAGACATATACTACTATATCCAGCTTCCTGTGGGTTATGAGAACCTGAACTTGGGTCCTCACGCTTGCAAAACAAGCACCTTACATCCTGATCTGTCCCTCCTGCCTGTGGCCATTTTCTGAGTGCAGCACGCGTGTCAGCATTCACTAATCCCAGCCACCAGGGGCACTGCGCCTCACAGAAGAGAACTTCTAGACAACGTTGCAAGTTTCTCAGGAGTTACCATCTGTATTACAGAGTTGTGAAGACAGTGGCTGTGAAAATCCTGAAGAATGAGGCCAACAACCCCGCACTGAAGGATGAGCTGTTGGCCGAGGCGAACGTCATGCAGCAGCTGGACAACCCCTACATTGTGCGCATGATTGGAATCTGCGAAGCGGAGTCCTGGATGCTGGTGATGGAGATGGCAGAGCTGGGGCCCCTCAACAAGTACCTGCAGCAGAACAGGTGCGTGGAGCTCGGGTGCACGGGAGCTGTGCTCTGCACAGCCCTCTTGGGCTGTGCTGGGACCTGGCTTCTGTGGGGAGTACTCTCTCTCTCTCTCTCTCTCTCTCTCTCTCTCTCTCTCTCTCTGAGTGTGTACATCTGCGGGAGCACACCTATGTGTGAATGTAAGCATGTGAAGAACAGATGTCATTCTCTATCCTCTATCACTCTCCATCTTCTTCTTCTTCTTCTTATTATTATTTATGTGTATATGTCTGAGTCAGTGTGTACCACATGAGTGCAGCTACTCACAGAGGCCAGAACAGAGTGTCAGAGCCCTTGGAGCTTGAGTTCCAGACAGCTGTGAACCTCCCAACCGAGCTCAGGCCCTATACAAGAACAGCACGCGTTCTTTACCACTGAACACTCGTTTAACTCTCTGTCTTATCATTTTGAGACAAAACTCTAAAGCTCACCAATTCAGACAAACTGGGCAGGCCCCTGGGCCCTGGGGATTCCAGGTCACAATTGTCATACTGGCTTTTATATAAGTGCTGGGGATCCCAAGTCGGGTCTTCAAGCTTGTGTATCAGCTGAGGCATCTCCCTAGCCTTCGTGAGAGAGCAACTCCAATCCACCATTTGGTCGTTAGTCTTCTCCTTGAATCTCTGTCCAGTGACACGATCCTTAGTGTGTGTGGACAGGTCATCTCCCTGCAACAGGCAAACATTCTGCTTAGATAAACACCTTGAACAAGCCGGGCAGTGCTGGCACGCACCTTTAATCCCAGCACCTGGGAGGCAGAGGCAGGTGGATCTATGCGAGTTCGAAGCCAGCCTGGTCTACAGAGGGAGCCCCAGGACAGGCTCCAAAGCTACACAGAGAAACCCTGTCTCAAAAAACAAAACAAAAAAACCACCTTGAGGAAACACACTCCTGGGCACCAGTTTTGTCTCCCGTGGTTGACTTCTTGAGTACCTGCATCTGAAGGGGCAGGCTACTGCTCACAGATTGCTCATCAGCGATCTGGGCACAGCTGCCCTAAGGCGGTGGTCCCTAGAGAAATGCTATTGGAATGAACCAAATTCAGTGACTTAGCTCATCTCGTTGTCGCTACATTGTTTGTACTTTCCTTAGCTGCTGCCTCAGGCTAACTGTAGAAAGGCGTTGCGAGCCCTTCTTTACAGGCAGGAAAAGGAAACACAGAGTTGATTTGTAACCTGTCCAGTATAGAACAGGGATTCAGAACCATCCCTGACTCTCCTGAGTCAAGGCTGACCACTTCTCATTTTATACAGTTTTTCTTTATTATCTACAGTATGCATGTGTGAATATGAATGTTTGTACAGGTGCAACAGGTGGAGACCAAAAGTCAGCCCAGAGCAGTGCCGGGCCCCTGGAATACCGCCTGCCTCCTTTGAGACAGGGCTCTCTCACTGGTCGGAGCTCATCAGTTATGCCAGACCTGTTGGGCAGGGAGCACCAAGAATCCACCAGCTTCCCTTCTTCAGCATTCAGACTGCACACGTGGGGCCTCACACCTGGCCTTATTTTTCACACTAGCTCTGGGCATCGAACTCAGGTCCTCATGCTTACAAGATGAGCGCTTTGCCACCTAAGCTGTCTCCACGGCCCTCTATGACTTTCTGCGAGTGCCTGAAAATGAAACACACTGAACTGTGTGTCAGAGAGATTACCTGGCACACTCTGCCTCCTGGGTTTTCCCCCCTGTGTCTGTGTGCAGCATATGTGTGTATGTACACATGTGCATTCCCATGTAGACATGCAGAGGCCAGAACATTGTGTGTCCTCCTCTGCCTCTTTCTGCTTTATTCCCTGAGCACACAGCCAGGTGTGGTAGGTAGCAACCCCAGAGAGGCAAAGGTTGGTGGATCTCTGTGAGTTTGGGACCAGCCTGATCTACATAGCAAGTTCCAGACTAGTTAGGGCTGCACAGTGATGCCCTATCTCAAAACAGAAAAAAATGATTCTCTCACTAAGCAGGAAGGTCTGCTATTTTGCTTTGTTTAGTTTTTTTTTTTTTAGTTATGCTGGTGACCAGCATACCTTAGGGTCATCCCGTCTCTACCCGCTACCAGTGCTGGCATTACAGTACATGTGGCCATGCTTAGCTTTTTTCACATGGATTCTGGGGAATCAAAATGTAGGCCCTCACACTTATGCAGCAAGTGTGCTTACACTGAGCCAACTTCCCAGCCCCTGACCTATTGTTTAAAAAGAAGGAATGAATGGACCCCTCTTCCACGTGCAAGGAAAACATAACTGCGTGTTTGGAACGACCACTGTCTGCTCTTACTAATGATAGTCTGTGATTCTAGGCACATAAAGGATAAGAACATCATCGAGTTGGTTCACCAGGTTTCCATGGGAATGAAGTATTTGGAAGAATGCAATTTCGTGCACAGAGATCTGGCTGCGAGGAACGTGCTTCTGGTCACCCAGCATTACGCCAAGATCAGCGATTTTGGTCTCTCCAAAGCCCTTAGTGCTGACGAAAACTACTACAAGGTAGGACAGCCCAGTTTAGGCTCATGGCTGCAGGCTGAGGGACAGCTCAGTGCAGGCTCGTGGCAGCAGGTCATAAAAACATTGAAAGATAAATATATGCTCTTTGTATTTCATTGTGGTAGAAATCTCACTAGTGACCTTGTGGAAAAGCGTTCTTAAGTTTAATTCTGTCAGTCAAGTAACAAAACCCCAAATACTTAACATGTCTCAACTGAAGACTCATTCAGACCAGCACCTTACGTTTTTGATTTTACATTTATATATCCTGTGGTGTGTGTGTAGGCACGTGTGCTACCGTGTACTCATAGACATCAGAAGACAACTTACAGGAGTTGATTCTCTCCTTTTATCATGTCTATCCTAAGGATCGAACTCAGATCTTCAGGCTTGGCAGCAGGCACCTTACCCACTTTAACCATCTTGCTGGCCTTGGAGTTTGAGTTTTGAAAAAAAAATGATGGAATGTTTGTGCTGACTTGCTTTCATCAATATAAATTGAACACGTTAATTTTTCTATTTTTTAGGCAGGGTTTCCTGCAGCCCAGGCTGGCTGCACAGGCACTGAGTTCTGGGGTTATAGGCATGCACCACCGTCATTGGGACTCAAAGGGAGGGCTTCATGCATGCCCACTACTAAGTCACTTCCCCAGAACTGGTTGACTCTTGAGAGATTTTTCTGACTCCTTCTCAGTCGAGCTGACACTATGAGTTCAAGCAGAGGCTTTTCTCCACCCCACTTCTCAAACCCTTCTCCTGCATGGCTCGGCACGCCTGACTTATCTCAGAGTGTCACTCTGCTTCCAGGCCCAGACCCATGGGAAGTGGCCCGTGAAGTGGTACGCCCCCGAGTGCATCAACTACTACAAGTTCTCCAGCAAGAGTGACGTCTGGAGCTTCGGGGTCCTGATGTGGGAAGCGTTCTCCTACGGGCAGAAGCCTTACAGAGTGAGTCATGCTGTTTCATGTCTCAGCGCGTGGCCTTAGGAGAGCATCACCCGGTGTAGGATTGTTGATACAGGAACCTGGGGTTGATACAGGAACCTCTAACGGTGGGCAGTTAGTGTAACCTCAGCTTACGTTTCCACTGTGTGTTACGTACACTCAGGAGACATAGCTCCGGACCATCCTTCTTGAGAGTTGAAATAGAAATGGCGACAGTGACAGCATCAACTGTGTTAGCTGTTGCTATGTGTGTGCACGTGTGGTGTGTGTGTGTGTGTGTGTGTGTGTGTGTGTGTGTGTGTATGTGTGTATGTTCCTGGATGTAACCAGATCCTATGGTGCCACTCAATAGATTGTCACAAATGAAGGCCCTACATCCCAACCCCAAAGACCCCCTTCTCCCCAACATTTCCAGCCCCTCACACTGGCAGTCACATCTGATTCTAGGATTCTAGAGGAAGGGTCCCTAGCATTGCGACAGATGTCACTGGGGGTGAGGTACTTTTGTTTGCTGACATATGTTTGAAAAGCTTGTGTGCATTTTCATGTCTCAGGGGATGAAAGGAAGTGAAGTGACCACCATGCTGGAGAAAGGGGAGCGTATGGGGTGCCCTCCAGGATGCCCCAGAGAGATGTATGACCTCATGAACCTTTGCTGGACATATGAGTGAGTACCCAACCCTTGCCTCCCTCGACCTGATGGCTTATAGAAGCAGATGGTGTGGCTACTGTCCTAGTTATTTCTGTTGATGTGATAAAATGTCTGGGCCAGAAGCTAACTTAGGGGCAAAGGATTTATCTTAGCTCAGAACTCCAGATTACAGTCCCTGATCACAGGGGGGTCGTGGGGGCACGAACTGAAAACTTTTGGTCACATCATCACAGTGGAGATCTGAGAGAAAAGCTGTTGTCCCTGCCTCTGGTGCTCATCTCACTTCCTCCTTTCTGGGAAAGGCCAGGATTCCCTGACCCAAGGATGGTAACCCATGGTGGGCTGGGTCTTCCCATCAAATAACATGATCAAGACAATTCCCCCACAGGCCGGCCTGTTCTAGACAACAGTCCCTCGTTGAAACTGCCTTCCCAAGTGGTTCCAGACTGTGTCAAGTTGACAATTAAAACTGAGCTTCACAGCTGGTGTCATGGTTTTTGTGACCCCTGGGAAAGGACCACAGACCCAATCCAGTTGTAATTAAAGATTTATTAATTAGTTGCTCTGGGGCAAACAATCTAGGAGCCAAATTTGAGAAGGCAGTGAAGCGGGCTAGGGGGGTGGGGAGGTTGGGGAAGGGTGTTTTGTTTTGTTTTGTTTTCAAGACAAAAACCACAAGAAGGCCTTCAATATCTAAGCGAGCAAGCAAAATCTGGTCGTTTTCTTCAAGTTAAGTGGTTAAAGCAACTCAAAACACTCTTTAGGTATCTGCATAGCAAGTTACAGAAGCCAAAAAAGCAGTTAGTCGTATCATAACAAGTAGAATGGTCATGGCTGTACATCTTTGGATGGGGGTCACTGAGTCAGGGTGACTGGGAGCTTATCTTCCAGGGACGGAAATCAGTGACAAACAGCTGGTGGGTACCAAGACGGATGCGTAACATAAAACGGAGTTTCTTTAGCCATCACAATGGGGATTAAAATGAAGTGTGAATTCTTTTGATGTATCAGGACTGTGCTGCCTTCTACCTAGATGGGGCAGGAGGTGGGCCAGAGGTGGACTGTTTTACTATCCAATCATGTCTCTTCGAGGCAGGTGTGTATGATGTGCAGTGTATATGATGTGCAGGTGTGTATATGATGTGCAGTGTATATGATGTGCAGGTGTGTATGATGTGCAGGTGTGTATGATGTGCAGGTGTGTATGATGTGCAGGTATGTATGATGTGCAAGTGTATATGATGTGCAGGTGTGTATGATGTGCAGGCGTGTATGATGTGCAGGTGTGTATGATGTGCAAGTGCGTATGATGTGCAGGTGTGTATCATGTGCAGGTGTATATGATGTGCAGGCGTGTATGATGTGCAGGCATGTATGATGTGCAGTGTATATGATGTGCAGGTGTGTATATGATGTGCAGGTGTATATGATGTGCAGGTGTGTATGATGTGCAGGTGTGTATGATGTGCAGGTATGTATGATGTGCAAGTGTATATGATGTGCAGGTGTGTATGATGTGCAGGCGTGTATGATGTGCAGGTGTATATGATGTGCAGGTGTGTATGATGTGCAGGTGTGCATGATGTGCAGGTGTGTATGATGTGCAGGTGTGTATGATGTGCAGTGTATATGATGTGCAGGTGTGTATATGATGTGCAGCGTATATGATGTGCAGGTGTGTATGATGTGCAGGTGTGTATGATGTGCAGGTGTGTATGATGTGCAGGTATGTATGATGTGCAAGTGTATATGATGTGCAGGTGTGTATGATGTGCAGGCGTGTATGATGTGCAGGTGTGTATGATGTGCAAGTGCGTATGATGTGCAGGTGTGTATCATGTGCAGGTGTATATGATGTGCAGGCGTGTATGATGTGCAGGCGTGTATGATGTGCAGGCGTGTATGATATGCAGGTGTGTATGATGTGCAGGTGTGTATGATGTGCAGGCGTGTATGATGTGCAGGCGTGTATGATGTGCAGGTGTGTATGATGTGCAGGCGTGTATGATGTGCAGGCGTGTATGATGTGCAGGTGTGTATGATGTGCAAGTGTGTGCAGGTGTGTATGATGTGCAGGTGTGTGTGGTGAGCAGGTGTGTGTGATGTGCAGGTGTGTGTGCAGGTGTGTGTGTGCAGGTGTGTGTATGTGAAGGTGTGTATGTGCAGGTGTGTATGTGAAGGTATGTGTGTGCAGGTGTGTATGATGTGCGGGTGTGTATGATGTGCAGGTGTGTGTGTGCAGGTGTGTGTGTATAGGTGTGCTCGTACACACCTGCGCACGTGGAGGCCACAGCTGACTGTGGGTGTCTTCTCCCATCACTCTCGACCTTGTTTTTTCTTCATTTAACCTTTTACTTATTTGTGTGTGTGTGTGTGTGTGTGTAAGCATGTGCATATACAAGTATTAGAGTGTGTCTCAGCACATATGTGAAGGTCAGAAGACAACTTTTGGGACTCAGTTCTCTCCTTCTACTGTGTGGGTGCTGAGGATCAAATTAAGGTCCTTTGGTTTTACAGCAAGTGCCTCTGCCCACTGAGCCACCTCACTGGGCCTTTCCACCTTATTATTTGAGGCAAAACATCTTTCCTAAACCTCAATCACACCACTTCTGCTTAACTGGCATGGAAATCACCTGTGTCCACCCCCCAGTACTGGACAAATAGGCCCGGCCATATCTGACTTTTATATAGCTGTTGGCGACCAACACTCAGATCCTACACTTGGACAGAGGCATTTTATACACTGAGCTGTCTCCCTATTCCCTGTGCCATTTTTATAGAAGGAACTTGAACACCGGAGGATTGTGTTAACCTGCAGGGCTAGGAGCCATGCCCTCATGAGCACAGAGGAAGTGAGCTCCCTTTCAGTCGGGAGGTGAAAATTTCACCCATCATTTGCCCACCTCAGCGTCTCACTTGTCAACAGCACAGACCCACCGTGCATAGATTTAGGATACACGGCGTCTGCTCTTTGCTCTGGTCACGGAAGTCCGTGTGCCCTTGAAAGAGCACATGTCATCACCCCCTCTCTGAAAGTCCAGCCGGGATGCAGGTAGGGCGTGTTACAGCTCTGTCCATAGATTTTGAGCCAAGAGACTTGGGAGATAGTTCTATTGGTAGCGCACTTGGTATGTAAGTGGAGAGACCTGAATTCAAACCCCAGAGCTTATGTAAAAGTGCCAGCCATGGTGGCATGTGCTTGTGGTCCCAGTGCCAGGGAAGAGATGGAGACAGAAGATCCCAGAGTCTTGCTGATCAGCCAGCCTCGCAGAGGGACCAGTGAGCTGTTTTCAGACATGGAAGGCATTCCATAACATAGTGCAAAATTCTTCCAGCTCAGAAGGCCACGGATCATGAGGATCTTGTAAGATGCAGGCTTGTGCTCTGTAGCTTGGGAATGGAAAGAGACTTCTGACCACACTGGTACAGGGTGCAGTGACCGGTACTTACCACCAGGGGGCACAGTGGTATAATCATGTTTCACAAGTTACCTACAAAAACTAATGCATCTCTTTCTCCTTCAGGGTAGAGAACAGGCCGGGATTCTCAGCTGTGGAACTGCGGCTTCGCAATTACTACTACGACGTGGTTAACTAACAGCTTGGGTGCCTGTCATTGGCCACCTTGGACCCTGGAGCGATTACAGAAACTTCATTCAGATGAACTGGTTTCCAGAGTTTCCTCTCCTTCTGCCCTGGGTGAGAGCTGAGCCAAGCTAGGACTCACCTTCACCGCCGATCTGATCCCAAAAGACAGGGCAGCAGCAAGACCCATGTGTTCATCATTCTGGTTTTTGCTTCCATCCGTGTGGTTTTCATTATGGCTCACATTCGGGAACAGTTTCCAAATCCTCGTCACATCGTTCTGTTCCTCTGGGTCCGGGATTGCAATGTTCCCCTGCGATCAGGAAAGTGCCGTGATACTTAAGCAAAGGAAATAAAGAGAAAACTCAGCGGCACAGCTGGCAAGCCCCAAGGCGGTTAAGGACAGTCACAAGCCTGGACACTGGTTCTGCTCTTGCACCGGAGACAGAAAAACCACATGGATGAGGCACTCTGACTTAGCTGACACGGCCCTGGCGTCTGCCTTCCCGCAGAATGACTTCAAGTCTGTCCTGGTGTGCTTGCAGGAGGAGGTGTGAATAACGTTCCACACACACGGAGGCTGCCGGGGAAGGTGGGCCCCCTCGACCCTCTACAAATGAGCAGAGTGTGTCGGGGTCAGAACCCCTCCCTTCTGCGGAGGGAGCGCAGCCAGGATCCCTTCTGAGTCCGTGATGCCACGCATGTCTGCTGGGTACTTTTCTCATTGCCTCCACAAAAGACCCCACAAGCAATTTAGGGAGGAAGGGTCAGTTTGGGCTCACAGTTGGGATAGGCCATCATGGTTGAAAAGACTTTACAACAGGAAGGAGAGACTTGGCGGCCTGAGCAGGAAGCTGGAAGGTCACGTGACACCACACGCAGGAAGCAAAGCGTGAACAGAAAGTGGGGTCAGGCTATACGGCCTCAAAGCCGCCACCACCCCAGTGATCCACTCCCTTTAGCAAGGCCCTACCTCCCAAAGGTTCTCTAGCTTCCTAGACAGTGAGTGCCACCAGCCAGGGACCAAGTGTTCAAGCGTGTGAGCCTTGAGCGGTGGGGTACTTCACATTCAAGCCACGGCAGGATCCGCCCGTTTCTGTTGCTGTAGCTGAACACCTAGAAGGGCCATGTACAAAGAAACCAATCTGTTACGTGTGCGCGCCCCCTCTGCTGTAGAGCTTGGAACTTCCACCAAGCAAGTGCAGCGCGAGGCAGGGGCCTTCCTACAGCGTTAAACAGAGCAGGTGAGCCGTCTCAGGCCTGTCCTCCTCTTATGAAGGCCCTGACCCCATCTCAGGGCCCCCCTCAAGACCCCACCTCATCCTCCAAAGGCCCCATCTCCAAACACCATGCCAGTAAATCTGGGTACTGAATCTCCAATACATGGACCCTGAAGGGGCACATTCAGACCAGAGCAGAGGGCAACACAGTGACCAGGACCATCTCAAGATGAGTTTCTGAATGGAATTCTTAATTCACAATAAAACCAGAGATTTGATCTTCACCACGAGAAAGCCTTGCTAAGTGCAATTCTGAGCTGAGGTCATGTGACCTGAGTACCGCTCTATCCTCCTAGCCTTGGCTTATGTGTGGCCTCCCATTTGATCATACACAAAGTGTCACCCATTCATAGCCCTTTTGCTGAGGACCTTAAGAATTACAAAGGCTGCATAGCCCTCATTCTGTGTCTGGGAATAAATACAAACCTCGTCTTCACCTCTGAGACGCTGTGACACATACAGGCAGGGATGGTGTGGGAAGCCCCGTGGGTGGTGGGTGAAGAATGGAGAAAGGGTGTGATCAGTGCCTTTCAGACTGTGGACGCAATGACCTCTCTTAGTCAGGGGCCCTTTAAAGAAGAGTTAAGAAGTACTTAGAAGCCATCAATGTGTTTGGAATCATGCTGACAGATCAGTCGTCTCATTAAAGAGGGGACCCCTGTTGCACTCACTGAGCAGACCCACAGAACACAGAATTACTGATGAAGACCCATGGGTCAGGCACTTGCAGGTTTAGAGTCAGGAAAGGAAGGGACCGATGTATTGGTTATGGAGACAGGACTATCTGGACCACATCTGAGCAAGGACTCTGCTCCCGCCTTCCCCTGTCCCCAGGGTGGGGTTATAGATAAGAAAGGTCACCTCGCAGGTTGGAGAGCACAGGGGACAACCCTGTGGAAGCCTCTGTCTTCTTTTTGGCCTCTCTAGCAGCGTTTCTCCTTTCCAGGGGTTTGAGGCTGACCATTGTCTAGATAATGGCTGAGCAGGATGGAGGCAGGGCCTCTGCCTTCCTCTAGAAGGTTCTGTGTACAGACTTCGCACTGGGGCCAGGTTCATCCCTCTCATCTGGTGAAGATCGTGTCTTGCTGACAAGATTAACTCTCTCCCCTGGGGCCACAGAGAAGGACAGACCGGGAGAAGATCCTCCCCGGATGATTTCCACTACAGATGCTCAAAATTTGCAAGGTCAGGAACCAGTCTTGGCTGGGTCCCGTTTCATGAGCTGCCTCTGAAGACCAGAGCCCCTTCTACCTGGCAGCTGGGCTCACTGTGTACCTTTTCCCTGTGACCCTGTGTCAGCAGAGTGCAAAGCTGCCTCACCACACCCCCAAATACAAATACCTCACGCAGAACTGAATGTCTCTCCAGTAAACACCCAAGCCAACCGATCATTAAAATGGTCTGTGCGTGCACTGGGACACGTCCCCCTGCGCCCAGCCCTGCTTCGTGTGCCAGACGGTGACTCCACAGGGATGCCAGCCCTTGCGATTGCAGCTCTCCCTGCAGAGCGAAGCCCTGGTTGCCAGTGCCAGCAAGCACTCCCACCAGTAGCGGTGCAGAGCGTTTATTTCAGAAATTGTTCTTAATAAAGATCTCCTGTTAGTTTTGTAATGACTTTTATGGAAGTGGGTAGGATAGAATGGGATAAGGCCTCAACCAGAGTTGGCCAGCATCATCCTAAGTGCAACCTGCTTGTGAAATGTTGAGTCCTGGGCCATACTGCTACATGTGAGTGGGAACAGAGCTGAGAGCTCACAGTCAAGTTCTGACAATGGGGGAGACCTGTAAGGAGGGGCCTGTCTTCCTGGGGGAACATCTGTGTCAGGATTCACAGGCTGGGGACCTGACAGCACAACCTTAACCTACTAGAAAGTGGGACAAGGAGGCCCAGAAATCACCTGGGGTGACAGTGGCTCTGCCACTGTCCATGAAGACACCCTGAAAGCAGCAGGCAGAGAATGTAAAGGTTCCAGAGCCCTGAGCTCCTTTGTTCTAAAGGAAGGTATGGGCAGGTGCAAATGCATGCATGCATGCATGACAGACACATGCATGCACCACATGTAACCATACATACACATTCATGCATGGCTAGACAAACATTGCGTGCATGTATACACATGTATGTACAAACACATGCATATGCACATGCAAATGCACACAGTGCATACACATGTATGAATTATGTGCATGTGTCCACAATTACATGTATATGTTGACACACCCTTACCCCCATGCCACCTTGTACACAGGCTAGTCCAATAGTGACAATCCCTCAATCGAGATTCCCTTCTCAGGTGACTCTAGGATGTATCCAGTTGGTAGTTTAAGCTACGCAGGACACAGCACAAATGAGGACCTGAGTGTAACCTCCAGTATTCATGTAAAGAGACATATGTATGCATCTGTTACTCTAGCTCTGGGGAGGGAGAGCCAGATGCAGTGGCGCACATCTGTAACTCCAACTCTGGGGAGTGATGGGGGAAGTCCTTCTGTGTATATGTTTGTCTTATTGGCTGATAATTAAAGCATTGTTGGCCAATAGGGAAATAAGATAGGGACTAGGAGTCAAGGAGGATTCTGGGAAATGAAGTCAAGAGTAGGGAGTCACCATGTGATCCCGGGAAGAGCGAATGCATGAGGCTGGTATCCCCAGTAAGATAAGTCCTTATAAAAGTATATAGATTAGTAGTTATTGGTTAATAATTAAGTCAGAGCTAGCCAATAAGAAATGATAGCAAATGGCCAACGGTGATGTGGCTCTGGGACCAGGCTAGCGGGAAGGGAATGCTCATTACAGGGGAGGGAGAAACAGATCACTGTTACTCACTGGTCATGCAGCCCTGACCATCATGGCTGTAACGTTCCGGTCTTAAGACCCTGTCTTAGAAAATAAGGTTGGAAGTGGCTGAGGACACATATGCACACACACACATATACACATGCACACACATGTGCATGCATGCACACACATATACACATGCACACACAAGTGCCAGAGAGCACACACCCTCTGAACAACCTCAGCTTAAGAGTAGTGTGTACACATGCATGCAGTGCTCGGGTATCCACACATGAGTGTGTGTGACAGAACAGACTTTTAAAGCTGGTGCATTTGCACATTGTTCAAGTCAGTTTCCTGGTACAGTAATAAACACCCCAGAAAATCAACTTAGAAGGAGGAAAGGGTTACCTTGGCAATAGAGGTCTTGTTACTGGAGTTAGTGTTAAAGCCTCGGCCCTTGGCCATCTTTGAAAATCCAGGTCCAGCCATTTGTCTTCAGTAGTTCAACAGAAGACGCAAAAGTGGAAAGTAGAGAAGGGAGGTTTGTCCGATGTAACCTGTAGGAGTGAACCCCATAAAGCTACCCGCCCAACAGGGCGGGGTCAAGGTAGAGATAAAAGGTAGTGAAAGGAAAAGGGGCCTCCCTCTTTTTCTCCTGGAAGCCAGCCATGCTTCTAACTCCTGGTATGTGCGACTCTCTCTCTCCCTGATAAATAAATATATTGTTTTTCCCTATATAGCCTCGATTACCGCGATACCTGGTCCAGTAGGAATATGTGGTGATATATTATTTATGGCTTATTAAAACTTTCCTGAGGGTACAGAAAGCAAAGCTAGCCACAAGTCATAGAGTCAGGCAGAGGTGATACACACCTTTAATCCCAGCAGCCACACTAGTTAGCCACACAGCCAGGTGGTGGTAGCACACACCTTTAATCCCAGGACTCAAGACAAGCAGATGGATCTCTGTTAGTTCAAGGCCTCCCTGAGCTACATGAAATTGATCCAGTCCTAACGACAAACAGCTCACACAAGATCTCAGTACTTGGGATCCCACACCTTTAATTCCAGCACTAGAGAGGTATAAAAGGGAAAGGAAAAGGTTCTCATGTGAGGGATTAGTCTCCAGTCATGCTAAGGACAGGATCAGCCCACTCAGCCTGAGATAGAGGTAAGATCTACTATTTGCTTCTCTGATCTTCAGCTTGAAGCTTGAACCCTAGTATCAGTCTCTGGATCATTTATTATTTGTGTTACAGGAAAGAAGCAAACAGGGCCAGTGACTCTTAGGTTCATCTTTTGGGGTCCTGGCAGGAAGTTTAGGTTTAAATAGAAGACCAGAGATACCAGAGATATGCATCTGTCTGTCAAGCAGTGGCCCCACCCACCAAGTCTCAGCTCCAGTCTCCCGAAAAACAGTTTGATGCACTGTAAACCTCTCCCTGGGAGACAAGCTGCCCTCCTGGCCGACATCAGCATTCATTCTTTTCCTTCTTCTACCATGAGACTCCAGGCGGAAATTCTAATCCCTTGGAGTGCATTATTGAAAATCTGATGGCCAAAGGGGAGGAGACGAGGTTCTCCCTACAGTAGCTCTACTCCTGCCAGGATATTGCAGCTTCAAGCAAAGAGAGGAGAGGGAGGTGGTCCCAATGTCTCCTTCACCAGCGCTGCTGGTGAACTACTTAGTTTCCACTAGGTCCCATTTCTTTGAGTTTATTATTTTATTTTTCATTTGTGTGTGCTCGCGAGCGTCTCTCTCTCTCTCTCTCTCTCTCTCTCTCTCTCTCTGTGTGTGTGTGTGTGTGTGTGATGTGTGAAATGGCTCCTACAGAGGCCAGAAGAGAGTGCTGGATCCCTGGAGCTAGTTATAGGTGGTTGCAAGCCACACAACTTGAATGCTGGGAACTGTACTCTGTCTAGAAGAGCAGCAAATGTTTCTAACCACTGAGCCTTCCCTCCAGCCACCGAGGGCCTACCTCCTAAAAGTCCCATTACCTCACAACAGAGCCTCAGGCATATTCTCTCTTGTCTCCTCTCTCAGTCCCTTTAGCTTTTTTCCCCTCCCTCCTCTCTCTGACACATCCCAAGGCAATATAACCAATAGTTCCTTCAAAGAAAAAAATTGATATTATTTTGATACAGTAGAGGGCGCCAGTGAGCCACTTATTATTTTTATAGCTTTGCAAAATGAATGCACAGAAAGAAAGGACACTTCCAAAGTTGCCACTACCAAACCCAGAAAATGGTCCCTGGGATGTTCCAGCTGCTGCCACAACCCAGTATGGGTCACTAGAGCTTGAAGCCTGCAGAGTTCTTGGCTTGCTTTTCCTTTTTTTTTCCTTTTCTTTTCTTTCTTTCTTTTTTATATCTTCCTTTCTTTTCTTTTTGTTTTTTTTAAGCTAAGCATTTTGCACTGAAGCCATTAGTCACAGGCTTCAGGGCTCAGTCTCCTATGTCTGTGGGTGACTCAGTACACCGTGGCTGTCATGGAACAAAGAGTTCAAAATGCAGACTACTCATAAACAACTCTCCCCCACTCATGGAAAATAAAGAGCCAGTGTCTGGGACAGTTTCTTCCCCACAGCTCCTATCAGATGACACCATCAATTTCTATAAATCACCGGAGTTGATGAAACCACTGAATTACAGGCCATAAAGACTCGGCTGTCTGGGAACAGGTTCTCAGATTCCCCGTGTCCTAATGCCCCTTATGCAGAAGAGAAAGGCCCCCACCCCAGAGGGTGTGGGACAGGTGAGGAAGCAGAGGGACCACCACTTAGAAAAGCACACTGCCGGACAGGAAGTAGCTTTCTCAGGCAGGGAAGATCCATGGCATCACAGCACCAAACTGCACAGTTTTGTTTCTAGAATGAACCTAGAGGTTCAAGGAGCATTTCGGACAGGCAGGCTCCTTCCAGTTGTAAAACCTCTCTGGACAAGTCATGTTCGCCCCCCATCCCCCCTGCAATGGTCACCCCTCTTCTTATTTTCTTTGATATTCACTTGTGAAGAACAGAGAGGAAGCGAAGCCAGCACTTGCTTATAATGCCTTCCCTAGTGACCTCTGCCGTGTCTCTCACCACCCCGTGAGCACTGCAGGGGCACTCCACAGAGTGGACACCGGAAGCTAAGCAAGCCTCCTGGCAGGGAGGAAGGCAGGTCTTGGGAGATGGAGAGACAGTCCTTGGAGCATGGCACAAACACTTGGGTTGATATTTTTTCCTGCGATGAAAACATTTGATGAATGTTCACTCCAGAATGCATTTCCCTTGAAGTTAATCAGATCCCCCACACCAGTGTTTTCTCAGTGTCTTTCCACCGTTTTATTCTCAGGTGCCTCTTGTACATCAGTTCCCTCCCTGATAAAACATTCCCTCCAGCAGGGGAAGCTCCTTAAGATTCAGGAAGCGAACAACTCAGAAGCTTCAGGAAGTCCCTGAAGCTGACCAAACGCACAAGGCCACTTCATCTCCAAATTTATATAATCAGTAAATGCTGCTGGGACACTAGATGAACCAATCTGCCTAGAACAGATGTTCTCCCGACCCGTTGAGCCGCCTGGAAGCTGTGCAGTGGGCTCCAAGGCTCCAGCTTTCATGAGCCATCACCCATTCTAAAGCGGGCTTTTAGGTGTTGCAGCTGCCTTTGAGTCATCCCTGCCCCCATAATTAACCCCCTTACCCATGGTCCTGCTAGGTGTGCCAGCAAACCTTTTGGTTCACACGTTGAATTTTGGTGGTATGGTTACTTTGGCTTATGATTGAGTCTCTATTTGGGGTGAATAGATATTAGTTCACATTTCCCTGGGAAATGGTGT